GCTTGAAGCTGGCGGCGCCATTCGCCCCCTGATTGGTTTGCACTCCATCGTTTTGTGAATGAATGGAAAATTGTAATTTGCTTTAAAAAATTTCGCTTCTGTACTTTTTCAACCAATCACTAGCAGAAGCTAAACGAGTTGTTTTTTGCAAGCGCGTTATTTCCCGCGCTTGACAGTGGCGACAACATTCGCCCTCTCTTCTGATTGGCTTGTACTCCGTCGAATTGTTGAGTGAATGGAAATTTGGGATTTGCTAAGAAATGTCGCTCCTATACTCTTTCAACCAATCACAAGCAGAAGCAAGACGAGTAGTTATTTGCACGCACGTACTTTCCCGCGCTTGAAATTGGCTGCACCATTAGGCCCCCCGTTCTGATTGGTTCGTGTTTTCATGTGCTGCGATAAGGCAAAGCGTAAAAAAATATTGTTCATCAACATTTTCGCGTCATAGTTGAGGAGAGGTGGAGGGGAAATGTTCAGAAAAGCGTGATGCACATGCAGAGATGTTGCTGTGCGCCCTAAACCTGTAAGAGATCTTTAGATTTGAGGACCACTATGAGGAGGAAATTTAACTTAACGTTTTTTTTCGGTTATTTTTGTTGAAGGAGGTTAAGCCCTCTCTTGATTGCAAATTGATTAAACGTTTAACATTTCAAAACTCGTTTCGGCCAATGCAATATGAGGCTGATTTAGCAACAGAACGGGAACGTCAGTTGACGACGGCGCGCGCAAATCAAACAACTAGCTTGACCAATGGCACAGCGGCAAATTGGGCACCGGAAGTCGAGTTTAGTCCTTACCGCGCGCTTTCCCGTCGTCAAATGACGTTCCCGTTCTGTTGCTAAATCAGCCTATTCTTGCTAAAACCCGGCCGCAGTTGAATGACGAAGGCTATCACGTTTCCCCGCCAAACTAACGCTGGTTCACGTGCGCGCAGTACTTAGTATTGAGAAAATCTCGTTCTCCAATTAGAATCTAAAGGTCCTCTGCTGTCTCCGTCATAGTTTCGTAAGGCTCCTACTGACACTCAGCAACAGCAGCTCAATATGTGTTGTGTGGGATTCTGATTTTTAGGTGAGGATGCTGCGGAGTACTTCATGAACCTGAGTCCTTTTGAGATGAAGATGTTGTTATATCACATCCTAAGCGGCAAAGAACTAGTTGTTCCAAACGGTATGTTTTCGTCCGTCCATACGGACTTGCTGACTGCTAACACCTTATAATGAAGTTTAATCAGTAGGTTGGATACATGTAATGGCCGATTTACACGGGAAAACGTTGTTGTATGCCAAGTGCCTACCGCCTTACGATAGGCCTACGATTGTATCTTGTAAATCCAATCTACCACTGTCTTACAAGTGTAATGGGTTTGAATTACACAGTGAGAATTATACCATGGGCTGATCGTAAGTGGATCGCATGCGTAAAGATTTCCTAGCATAGTATCTATTGCATCTTGGAATCAAATGAAAGTCAAGACCTGCCGCATGTTGTCCTTTAAATGAAGTTACCGCAAGGTGCTTTGTATTTTCTACCAAACAAGGGATATGTTTGTCTTGCAATGACTTTCTCATTGGTTTTGCTGCTTCAGAAAATGAGTCTGTACGTACTACACCTGAGAAGACACCTGGCTTCGTGAACGCTGATCTCCCAAAAAGGGTGGGCATTAAAAAGCTCTCCGGCGCATTAAAGGTCAGAAATTTATCATTAGTTAGCAAAGTGTAGTTCCTTTAGCTTTGTTTATCAGTATATAAAAAGAGGAACCTAATTAACACAAGCATAGCCAACAAATAGTGGGAATTAAAAGGCTGTCTACCGCTTTCAAGCTCAGAAAGCCATTTTTGTTGTCGTTTTATATGCGAGGAAATCAAAGCAAAATAATAGTAAAACCATTGTTTTTGTTGTAGTTAACGTTGGACGTGTATCACGTGAAATTGCCTAATTTAACGTTTTATCGAGGAAGTAAACAACCGACGAACTTGAATTGGATGTTTTTCCTAGGAATACAACTCCAGTAGAGTTCGCTTTCGCGTGGTTAAGTGAGCGAGTTAGGATAGTAGCCCTGAAATTTCAAAGAATGGGAAGTCAGTTTTAAATGACGTATCTCTTAAACTTCCTATTGTTTCCCGTTTCGCCGCTGTCTTGTAAACTCTCAGAAACGTTTTTTTTTTGTTTGCCTTTGTCGCCTGAATCTAATTTGGCAGTCACCCTTCATAACAGGTTGCGGTTTACATTTGGATAAAAGTTTTTAAGAAATGAAGTTTACTTCTGTGCTCTGTTCTAACTTTTAAATCTGTATACAAAATCATGTGGTGTGACCATTTAAATGAAACCTCTTCAGCAGTACTTTCACATGTAGCCTGGGACCAGGCTCGCAGTGGGGGAAAAAGCAAAAAACGGGGTCAAATAGGAAAAATATCGGTGGGATCGAAGTTAAGTAGATCTCTTTGCTTGCACTCTTACTTCATCTCGAATTCCTATATTTTTTTACAAAAGCGACATAATGAGCTCACGCTGACATCCGTGATGACTTGACGTGTTGACATTTCAATGACAAGTTAATTGTTGGAGGGCGGATCGGCGGCATCAAAGGCATGTCTCCAGAGTCCGCCACTCTTTCCTCTCGCCAGACTAACTTTCGGCTGGCTTCGCTCGCCGAATTTTTTTTAATTATTTTTTTTTTCACCCTCGCTGAATTTTTTCTCCTTTTTCCCTCAGTGCGGAGCCTGGTCCCAGGCTATTTCACATGGTACTATTTGTTTCTTGACATTTTACAAAATGAAATTTGGAAATTTGGATGAATTTTGACTTTAGCCCGCACTTTTGGGAGTGAGAGGATCAACCTTATTTTTACATTTGAATTAACTTTAGAATATGAGCGGCAGAGGATTGCTGTCAGATAAAATGACCCTTCAGTACTCAAACAGAGTCGCCAATAACGAGGAACATGATTCCGGAGAAGAGGAACATTATTCAGGTGATGACCGCCTAGGACAGTGGATCCGGAGAAGGTGCCTTGATGGAGCGCTCAATCGAGCCCCCGAGGATTTCTACCCCAAATTCTGGAAGGTCCTCGAAAAGATTGTATTTAGTTCCCAAAAATGAAGAAAGAACACCTGTCACCAGTCCAGCAAATGGGTGGACGCCAGCAAGGTCACGTTCATTTTCAGCTGATCTAGAAACCAAAGAGTATCTGTTGCAGCTAGAGGAAGCAACAACAATCGATGCACAAGCTGATATTCTGCACTTCCTTTACAACACTAAGTAAGATTTGGCAGCCCTTTGTGTCCGTACTAATTTCCGTACGTTTTTTATGGTGTTAATGGAAGAAATGTGTTTAACAATGGAAGCGTTTTGTCCCTAGTGTTCATTTCCTTAACTCGAATTACTTTATGTTTAATAATCAGTGCCTGATTGTCGGCACTTATCTCCGTACTTTTTTTATTGTGTTAAGGGAAGAAATTTGTTAAAAAATGGTAGCGTTTTGTCCTTAAAATTCATTTCCTTAACTCACATGCCGTTGTGTTTAAATTACAAAGTGCCTTATTAAGAAAGACGAAAGTCAATGCTGACACTGTTAGGACTGAAAGAGTGAAGCATTTCCCTCTTGTGAAAAAATGGTCAGTCGCCTTTTCGTTTTCGTTCCTCCGAAATCGCTGGCCCATCCCACCCTATAGCTGAACCGCCGTATTGACTTATTTTAGTTAGTGTAATCTCCAGATAGAACTAAGACCACTCTAGGTACAAGGAGATAGAGGGGTGTAGGGTGTTGCTGAATGCGAGTTAGACCCTCTTATGGCCGTCACGGAAGTAACAAATGTTAACAGTCACTGGTTCAGAACTATGTATATATTGCTTGTGTCCTGCTCTAGGGGTCCTGATTTTGACACTGAACTATTTGGAGAAAAGGGAGTCACTGTTCAGAAACTTCTGGAAGAACTTTATGAAAAGGTGAGTCTGCATAATGAACTTGCGTTTAGTAACCCGCCTACAAGCGCGCCATTCAGCAGAACCGATTAGAGACCAGTATAGATTTAACGTGAACGTTTTCTGTTAGACATTTTTAATGTGAAACTACATTGCCTGTACTTAAATTTTTCTAACCTACTTATTCTCGTTTGATTTGTAGGCCTGTCAGATTAGATTATGGTCGCTAGTCAGGCACACTGCAGGTCTGTTGCGAAAAAGGGTGGAAGATCTCGCTGAGGTAATATACCAAGTCAAAAGTGTTTATATAATATACAACTATCCGTTGAAGGGGAGGTATAAAGCTATTTCAAAAAAGGTTGTCACAGCAAATGGCGAACGGCGAATGTCGAAAGGAGGTTGCACGACCGAAAGGAACTATGGTTACGTTATTTGATAGGCAAAATTTCATATGTTGCGTTCACCTGACGTGAAAATGAATACACCAATGATCAACGTTTGTTTGTCACTATGCACTGACCCTGAAGGGGATAGTTGCTTCAGTACTTACAAATCATTTGGATGAAAAAGAAATAGCAATTTCTGTAATTGTACGACGTTACTTAGTAGGAACTTTCTTTAAGTTTTAATTGGCAGTGTTTCGGGGATATGTCGGGTGCATTTTCACGATTTTGTTGTAAATTCAGTAAGAAAATAATTTTTTAACCCAGTGCCAGTGAACATCGCCAAACCAAATTTGGTATTGTTATTTGTTGGTATAGCTGCTTCATTTGTCGCTAAAATGTCGTCGTCCGAAACTGTCGCGAAACGGGAAGCCATATTGATGCCCGTGCCAAAACAGTGAATAGCCAAGGATATTCCAAGTTTTACCGCAGCAGATCAAAACGCGCGAAAATTGCTATCCACTGATTTGGTAAATACTAATGAAAAATTTTATTCATCGTGATTTCTGTTAGCCTGGGACCTGGCTCCGCAGTGCGAGGAAAGGTCAAATAAGGAAAATAAATATCGGCGAGCGAAGCGAGTCGAGCGGTGGATTGGGGAGGGGGAAAGGGCGGCGGAGCCTGGAGACA